CACCAAGAAAACTGCAGGGACTGGTCCAGGCGGGTGCCGGGAGTCACGATTGACTCGGGGACACCAATCCCCCCACATCCAAAAAGGAGGCCCCCGGCCAAGGTTGGGAAACCCTGCTGTAGCCTAAATCCTCTTTTCTGTGTCCTGCCCTCTGAACAAGGAGAGACGTTTCTAAATGTAAGCTTCTCCCAACCTTCGAGGGGGGCCTCCTTTTTGGATGTGGGGGGATTGGTGTCCCCGAGTCAATCGTGACTCCCGGCACCCGCCTGGACCAGTCCCTGCAGTTTTCTTGGTGACATTTTTGGAAGTTGTTTTCCGTGCCTGGGGCTGGGAGGGAAGGCCTGGCCCAAAGTCCCCCAGCTTCATGCCTCCGATAGGATTAGAACTCAGCTCTCCCGGTTTCCAGCCTGCTGCCTGTAACCACTACCCCAAACCAGCTCTCTTAGCTGCTCGTGTGTTTTCTTTTCCCGTGTCCACCAACGCAGGAGATTACTCACAGGCCAGGCGAGCATACAGGGCTGCCCTGGAACAGGCGGAGAAGTCTGGGGATGGCGTTTCGGTGAGGTACATCGAGAAGGAACTGGCGCAGCTGGCCAAGAGGAAGAGAATGCAGTCGAAGGCCAGCGCCAATTCGCAGGTGGAGGACCCGGGCAAGGCTGGAGCCGAGGCACGGAGGGAGTGACCGCGGCTTCCTGCAGCTGCCCTGTGAGAGCGCCGAAGAGCCTGCCCTACAACATGCTCCTTCTGGCTGTAAGGGCAATGCGTCCTGGACTGCATGGGGCAGCCCTCGGTCTGCGCAGTGCCCAAGGGGAGCGCATGGGACTCCTAGAGTGCAAAGCATGAGGAGGATGAACCCGGTTTCTGGATCCCAAGAGGGAAGCTCCAGTTTGGATCCACGCACCGAATAAAGCGAAGATAGCCACAGCTTAAGCAGCAAAACTCTTTTTATTTCCAACCCATCCCCTTGGCACGGATAGAGGCCTGCAAAAGGGCACCCGGTTGGTGTCAACGATGATGAAATGTGGGCTGGGCTGAAAAGATAAGCAAGGAAAATGGGGAGAAAGGCCTGCCTGTGAATTCTTCCCTCCCTTCGCCACCCAGGAACTCTGATCAAGGGAACCGGCTGGGCCTGGACTGAGTTCTGGGCATAGCTCAGCCGTGAAACCCCGTTGGCAGAAAGAGGATCCGGGTTCAGTCCCCGGTGCGGACGGATCAAAGAAGGGGGTCAACGCGCAGGAGAGCAGCTGTGACTGTGGGATTAGAGCCCTGCCTTATGCACGATGCATGGGGAAATGGGCAGGTCGAAGGTGTTGTGGCTGCTGTCGTCTTGACCCCCGATCGGGGATGCCCTCTCCTGGTGTAGACAAACCAGAGCCGGGAAAATCTCCGAGCAGAAAAGTCCTGGAGTGGCCCTGCCACTGAGCAGACCACTCTTCCCCAACCTCCAGATGCTTAGATGGCTGGCTGGGGAATTCTGGGGGTTGAAGTCCAGACATCTTAAAGTGGCCCAGGTTGAGAAACACTGCTTTAAGGTGTAATTCCCGTGCCTTCCCATGAGAAAGGCAGGGCCCAGCTGCACGGGGAAGAAACTTAAGATTTACTGGAGGCAAACAGACAGGATGAGTGGCGGCTGCCAGTCGGCTTCCTTGGCGGCATTGGGTGCCAGTGGGAAGAGGGCAAAGACCCAAAGAGCCAGTTTGATCTAGTAGTTAAGGCTCCAGGCTAGAAAGCGGGAGACGGTGAGTTCTAGTCCCGTCTTAGGCATGAAAGCCGGCTGGGTGACTTTGGGCCAGTCCCTCTCTCAGCCCAACCCACCTCACAGGGTGGTGGTTGTGGGGAAAATAGGAAGAGGAAGGAGTACGAGGCATGTTCACCGCCTTACTTATAAAAATACGAAAGATGGGATAAAAAAAAAAATTAAGAAAAGTCCCCCCTGCTTATTCCAGGCACACCCATTATGAAAAGGAACCCGTGTTTGTTCTGCCCGCACTGGCTTGCAGATTTAAAAGCCCACCTTTCCAGCTCTACCCCCCCCCCGGTCCCCGAGAAAAGACGGACTGCAGGAAGCACCACAAACCTCCCTTTTCTTTATTTGATTGGTCTGTATTCTTAGAAGTCACCATTTTACTCAAGGCATGGGCACCAACAGAACAGGAAGATGCGGTGGCATTTGGGATGCTTCCCCTCCCCCCAAATTAAAATGTGCTGAACATACCAGGGGGAAGAACAGCGGGGATCAGAAATCATGGACAGAAAACAGAATTAAGTACTCTCTCCCCCCAACTAGGAAACGTTACTCGAGATACAGGGACTGGCATTTTGCTGCGCAAAGCAGGCCACTGAAAAACCACCGCGAAGCCTTCGCTGGAACCTTTCAGAAAATCCCACTTTGGCCCGGAGTGACGTTTTCCTGCCAGGCTCCATGAAGTTGGCAGTCTCTTGAATTTCACAGGAGCAGATCCCGCCATCTGCTGAGCAGGGATGAAAGGGTTTGCAAATGAGATTGGCGAGAAAAAGCAAGCCCATGTTTGCTTTCTGGCTTACACGGGGCTGGAGAGAAATCACGTTGCCCGGGCACCGGCTTCTAGTTGTGCATTTTGCTTGCGGAGCCTTTCGAGGTCCCATTAACGGGGAAACTGTTTTAAGAGGGAACACAAGCTCTGTGTCCTTTCTGTTTTTCCCCTAAGGGACTGAGATCCTCAGTGCTACTAAGCAGGTACAGAGCCCAAAGGAATCTACGGAGGATTTTTCTTTTTTAGCCTTAGATGAAGACTGGAAAACATTTCTTACAAAGCCAACACCATATTGGGATGAAATGGCAATCATCCGTGCAGTTGCTAAAAAGGGAGTGAATTCACAACTCAAGGCAACTCCCCTCTACTCTGGAGCGGACTGCAACTCCCATCTGCACAGCCGTGGGGGTGGGAATAATGTTCCTGGTGGGACCCAGACTGCAGGAGGCCCTTGGCAGACATTGGCTTTTCTTGTTTCAGCAAGAAGTCCCTAAACCAATGTTTCCCAACCTTAACAATATTTGAGAGGTGTGGACTTCGACTCCCAGAATTCCCCAGCCAGCCGGCTGGGGAATTCTGGGAGTTGAAGTCCACACCTCTTAAAGTTGCAGAGGTTGGGAAACACTAAACATTTCCCACTGCCCTCTGACTGATCCACAGAGGGCAATTTGAGCCTTTTTTGGACAGCATTTACAGCTCAGATTTATCCTTAAATTCAGCTTTTTTGTGGTGGTGGTTTAGATTCCCCAAAGGCTGACCCGGTCCAAGATGCTAATGCTTTAACAAAGCTTCTCGTGCTACGCTAAATGGTTTTGTAGCTTCAAATGCACACCAGAACCCACCTGCAGCATAGTCGCAGCCTCGTTTCAGCCAAAAAGCAACAAAAGTGTGGGAAATTCTCTTGCAAGGCAAACCGCGCCGGCAAAGCGAGAGCCACGTTTGACAGAACTCAAAGCTTATTTTTCTTGGAAGAAACGTTAGTATTGATTCAGAGCCTTCTGTTCAAGGAGTTACTCGGCACTGCTCCAGCTGAAGACCAAGAGTTGATTTCAAGTCAGCAAATTAGGATCAAAGCAGGAGATGATCTGGGAGTAGGGCAGGCGGGGAGAAGACCGTTTATCGGAGGGAGAGCTGAAAAAGCGACTAGATGGGGCTGAGATCAAGGAGCGTGTGGGAGAAAGAGACCTCCCCGTTATACACCCGTGCAATGGCATCTTCACAGCGTTGCTGAACAAAACCAACTGTACGGAAAAACAAAAATTACAGCATGGCATAATCATTAAAAAGATCTCGTTATTCCAGCAGACCAGAGACTTAAAATGTACAGAACTCATGAAGGGGTCAGTTTAAAAATGAAAATGCTTTCCACAAGGTTCTTAACAACCACAGAGGAGGGGTGGGGGGGGCAGAGTGTGGAGAGGCGGGTGCGGAGGCAGCGGCAAGTGGCGCTCGAGAGCAAGCAGGGTGCTACGTGCAGACAGGCGGAGGGGAGGGGGGAGCAGGGCGGCTGAGCACAACGCCCCCCGGAAGGAAGGGGAGATGCCCGAAGGCCTCTCTTTCTCCCCCCCCCCACTTCTACAGCCGGATGCAAAAGACACGTCCTCTTGGTTGCACCGAAAAGGTTAGGAAGAGTCTACTCTTGAGACTAGGCCTTTAAAAAAAATATATAAAATGACCCCAAAAGTTTACACAATGATTTGAACACCAGAAATTCTAGCAAGGGGGACGGGGTAGGGGGAAACACACTGCAGAAAAAGTTACTCTATTTACATAAGAATGATTTTTTTTTTCTTTTCTTAGAGACATTATGTTACGGTTCTCTTTACAAATAAGGATGTCGCTCAGGAATACGTCCTCTTTTTTTAAAAAAAAAAAAACTCTTTACATATTTATCTTCAGGACGCTGACTCTTCCCTTGCAGCTCGCGCAGAAAGGAATCCTCTTCCTTGCTCCATAAACAGATTCCTGCAAAACTTCTTCATCTCCCGAAAGCCCTCGCTCTCATTTCAACAGTCTCTGGGGACTTGTCGCTTTTAAGAAAAATGCAGCAACCCCATAAACCCAACTGGTTTCCAACCTCCCCGCTGAATTTTTATATTTTGTCTGTCGGTTTTAAAAAAGCACGCCCTTTCCCGTTTCAGTCATCGCTGTCCGAAAGAGTCTCGTACTGGGCGGAGAGCAGGGGCGCGGGCTCACGCTCCCACATCCTGCTGGGCTGATGCGCCGCGGCCTGGCTGGCAGACGGCGGGGCGCAGGCCATCGAGGTGGGGGGCGTGCTGCTCAGCATCCGCATCGTCAGAGGGTTGTACGGGAACTGCGTCGATCCTGGCGGAAGGCAGGGGCGAAAAGAGAGAAAGCACAGCATTGAAAAGGCTCCCATCCCGGGCAACTCGCGAGGCCGAGACCGTGGGACAGCTGCAACGGGGCAGTCTGTGACTCCTCCTCTTCCCTTTGAAGTTGGCCAAATCCAAGGCCGAACAAACTATCTTACGAGACCAGCTTAGAACGGGCAAAGGGGTCGCAGCACTGGGCTCATCCACGCAGGATGCCAACATGCTTTGAGACAGAAGGGAAGATTGTCGTCCTCACACCCTGCTTCTACTCTGCTTCCACTCAGGGTTGCTACCGCATGTCCCCCACGTACCACTGGGTCAATTTCACCCTCTTCTCCCTGCAAGAAGGGCCCTCCATGCAGTTCACCAGGCAATGTGGGGGGCTCTCCCAAAGGGAAACCTCCACCGACTTTGCAGAAGACCCACATTTGATCTTCCACGAGATCAAGATTCCCCTGACTCTGCTGTCTGCTGGATCGAAAAGGCTGCAGAGGTGCTGAGCCTGCAGGTCGGATGGGAAGGGACCTGCTGTGGGTCAACTGGAGTTGACAATTTCTGAAGACAATTTCCCCACGTGACCTAGAGAGTCCGTGGGGGTTTCCTTCTGATTTCCCAGGAGAAACGCAACTGTTAAGGCAGAACATCTGGATGAGACAGAGACTCTAACGAGGACGCATCTTTGGGGAAAGAGGGATGTCCCTGAGCTGGGGAAGGAGGATGCGCGAATGAGCTCACAGTCTCACTGTTCTCCATTCAAATGCTCCTACGACAGGTCTCTGGGTGATGCCCTAGTTCCAAGGCGAAGAAACTGCGGGGGGCGGTGAAACAGCGTCCCAGCGTCGAGTCCTCGCTACAGGTCCCAATCGAGGAAGCAGGAATTACACAGACTCGACTAAGATGCTTTTAATGAACGGATTAGGGGCAAAACACCAAATGCTGGAAACCACCACGGGCACCTCCAGCCCTCATTCATTAGCGAGATCCTTACGGCGCAGTCCCTTCGGACGCTGAATTTGTTCCGGGACTCTTGGCAATCTGGACTGAGCTGCTGTTTATGAGATACGCTACTAACCAACTCCTTCTGCTCCACCTGTTAGTTTCGCGGCCTCCCCACCATCTCTCACCCTCGGTGAGCTTCAAATCCCTGGTGCAAATTTCACGGGGAGGGGGGCTTCGACCAGCCACATTCTCTCTCAGGCTGGCTTAGGAGATTCAAGGTGGGGGCGGGGAATGGCATGAGCCTTAAGTTCCTTCAGGGACAAGCAGGATGCAAAAGCAACCAATCGTGATTGCTCCAGGCCAGACCGGTCCGTTCCGAGATGCTAAATGCAGTTTCGAGACGGAAGGGTGGAAGATGCTCTCCAGCCCGACTTTCTCCATCCAGCTAACTCAGTGTTGTCCAAACTTAGCCACTTTAAGATGAGTGTTCAACTCCCAGAATTCCCCAGCCAGCCAT